CTCAGTCAATCGGCCCACCTTGGCCTCCCAGAGTGCTAGGATTACAGGCGTGAGCCACCATGCCTCACCAGTTTTCTCCTTGTTTTTAAGAATTATTATTTGTATTTTTTTCAGGCTGGAGTGTAGTGTTATCATAGCTCACTGCAGCCTCCAACTCCTCCCACTTCAGCCTCTCAAGTACCTGGGACTATAAATGCCCACTGCCATACCTGGCTATTTTTCATTTTTATTTTCTTTTTTTAGAGTTGGGTTTTTGCTATATCGCCCATGTTGGCCTCAAACTCCTGGCCTCAGGTGATCCTCCTGCTTCCAAAGGGCAGGGATTATAGGCATGGGCCAACATACCTGTAACCCTGTATTTGTAAATGGTATGCTTGTTTCCATCCCTTACTGATAGCATTTTTGAGATCCTGTGACTGCTTTCCTTTTGGCCAATCAGCTGTGTCCCACTCTCCCCATGGTGCAGTCCTCTGTTGAGACCTGTGTCCTTTGGTTCTGCATGATGGGTGTATAAACATCCCTTGCCTCTGCTGGTGTGTGCGCCAGCCAGGCCACAGAGCTGAGTAAAACTGCAGAGATTGGGATAGCACTCTGCTGAGTGAGGATCCAAAACTAGGGGTGAGCAGCTTTCCTGGGGAAGAACCTAGCCCTCTCTTGCCTGGGAGGGGCTGGAGATACCTGCCCATGGGCTCTTCTCTCTTGTACGCCCTCCCCAGAGGGATGTTACCCACTTTTCTGTTTTGGCTCCTATTAGACCATGGATCCTTGTGTAATCCCCATGTATAACCTCAACCCCAGCCATGTAATCAGCTGCATGAAGGGGTGTCTCTGCTTAGCACCTCTCCTAATGCCTCGGACTGTGCCCTGCCCTGGCCCTGTCTCTGTGTCCCGTCTAGATAGGGTCATTCACGTAGTGCTAGCTTAAGTCCCTTGGTAGAGGTGGCCCAAAATGGAGGTTAGGGTGATTCTGGGGCACTGATTGAGTTCTGGGACCTGCCTTGGGGCGCATGGGCAGGGCTCTCTCCTGACCTCCCAGCTCACCTCCCTCCCCTGCCATGCAATGGCTTCCCAGGTAACTTCCACACTTCTCCAACTCAAGTTGAGCAGGAGTTCCTCTTTGGTCACTCTCTAGGCCCTGCTGCCCTGCCCTGTTGGACCCTGCAGACTGCTATCTATCATTTCTGTCCTGGGCTCATCGGGTAGGGGTGATGCTCTTTTGGGCAGGCAATTGTAGCTCTGTGTGCAGGTGGGTTCTGTCTGGACAAGTGCTCCAGAGGCACAGCACAAAGCAGCGGTGGGCCAAGCTATCTGAGCCATGGTCCCTGCCATGTGCCTGTCTGCCATTATGGAGGTGCGCTTTGGAGGTGTAGGCCTGCATGGCTGTAGGTGCTGCTGGGGGGAGGGTCTGTTGTTGGGTGGTACGCTCCTGTCTCCTCTGATGAGGAATGCTCTGGGCTCTGTTCTGGGCAGGGCCTTCTACTGTGCCTTGGTACTGGGGGTTTTTTTGCCGTTTTTGGCCCGGGCTGGGTTTGAACCCGCCACCTCAGGCATATGGGGCCAGCGGCTTACTCCTTTGAGCCACAGGCGCTGCCCAGTACTGGGTTTATTTAACCCTCATTAATGCTCACTTGCAGCTGAGTCACCATGGACACCATTCTGTATGCATTGGTCTCCTTCCTGGCTGGCCTGTCTGCCTATGTCTCTGTGCTGTTGGAAGGCCCAGTGCCTTGCAGCTGTGTGGCAAAACCCTCTGCGCATTGGTCACTTGGGGTGCAATTGTCTGTCTGGATGACCGGTGCCCTGGCAGTAGCTGAGGACACCACTCCCTGTACCTTGGTCCCCCGGGGCTCATTTGTCTGCCCAAGATGACGTGTTCCCCAGGTAGAGTTACTGGCGGTGCAGGCATGTATGCTCTGGGGCGCAGTTATCTGCGCACTGGTTCTTACTTGGTGTGGAAAACCAGTTGTGTTCAGGGCCCCTGACTGCCCCCCATACGCCCCTGCCTCTCTCTCTGCAGGATACAGGACCGTGGAGAGGAGGTCCCAGGCTTCCTCCTGGAGTGTGACAGCTCTGTGCTGGGCGCCCTGCAGAAGCACCTTGCACTGTACAAGATCCGGCGGAAGGTCACAGTGGAAGCGTACCCTGAGCTGCGTGTATGGGCAGTACTGCCCAGCGCCCCTGAGGCCAGTGGGGCAGTGCCACTGCAGGAGAAGTCGGATGTTGTCACTATTCTCACCCGTGACCCTCGGACCGTGCGCATGGGTTGGCGACTCCTCACCCAGGTTGAGAGCCCTGCCCTAGTGCCCAGGGGCCAGCTGAGGGATTCCCGGGATTATCACCAACACCGGTACCGGCAAGGTAAAATCAAGCAGGCACGTGGGGCTGCATGGGAGGAGAGAGTGGGCACACAGGGCTGGGCTGTATTGGCTCATTTCTCCCTGATTTCTCCCTCCCATTCTCCACAGGCGTTCCTGAGGGAGTCAGTGACCTGCCCCCAGGGGTGGCCCTGCCCCTGGAGTCCAACCTGGCCTTCATGAATGGTGTGAGCTTCACCAAGGGCTGCTACATTGGCCAAGAGCTGACTGCCCGTACCCACCACATGGGGGTCATCCGGAAGCGCCTCTTCCCTGTACATCTCTCAGGCTCCCTTCCTGCTGGTGGCATTGCCCCGGGCTCTGTGGTGCTGACGGAGTCAGGACAGGTGGCTGGCAAGTTCAGGGCCAGCCAGGGGAATGTGGGGCTGGCCCTGCTTCAGTCAGAGAAAATCAAGGATCCTCTCTACATACGAACCTCCGAGAGTAACCAGGTGGCCTTGACTGCATCTGTGCCAGACTGGTGGCCCACAGCTACCAAGTAGCCCTAAATGCCTGGGTCTCTGGCAGGCCAGTGGAGCTTTCAGTGCTGGGGGCCTCTGACCAGGGGCTGCTGGTCTCATCTCCTGTGCCTTGTAGGGTGGGAGCCCTACTCCCTAGTGGGTCTGTTGAGAGTCTCCCATGTTTCTTCATAGCCCAGAGCTGCAGGCCTGGTGTAGCTCAGCACCCAGCCCTACTGATGTTTCCTGTGGAGGGTCCTATGGCTATGGGTTTCCCTATCTGTGGATATTCTGTGGCTAGGAGCAGCAGGAACCCTCCTGGGACCTGGGGAAGGGAGAAAGTGGCCTGAGCCCACCTTTGACTAGACCCTGCAGAGTCCATCAGCCACAGATGGGATGCCCTTTTTGCCCAGAGCTGGCAGCTTTGGGGCCTTGCACCCCACTTTGCCCTTGATCGGGCTTGAGAAATGTGGTCTCTGCATTTGGCGGCCAGGGTGACATTGGGGGATGGCAGCCTTTGGGAATTGTTTCCCTGTGCTCACTTTGGAGCATGTCTCAGGGTGAGGGTTGTGTGTGATTATCCTCAGGTTGGATGTGGTGGGATGGGGACATCTGCAGGAGGAGGTGCAGACACTGTGGACCTGTGCACAGCTGAGCCATCTGCACCACTGTGGGCTCAGGAGGCCCAACCCAGGGGCTACAGATGGTTGTGTCCACCTTTCCATGGCTAGGGCCTGGCAAGGAGGGGCTCACACATGACTCCTGTTCGCCATGTTTTAGATGTAGCTGTAGCCATGTGTTTTTAGTCAGAGTGTGACTTGCTGTTGGGTAGAGATGTGGCCCCTTTTTCAACTACTAACTTCCCATCTTGTTGGAGTGTGACTTCTGTGTTATGGGGCATCTATTAAAGCCTGACACTCAAGCAGCCTGTTCAGAGCTTTGGTTTCCTTTGTGTGGAAGTGGGGGCCAGGCTTTGGTTTAGGGATCCTGTAGGCTAGACACATGGAACATCCCTCCCTGAAGGACACATAAACACACCAGGCAAAGCATTTGTTTTTTTAAGACAGAGTCTCAAGCAGTTGCCCTGGGTAGGGTGCCGTGGCGTTATAGCTCACAGCAATCTTTAACTTGGGCTCAAGCGATTCTGTTGCCTCAGTTTTTCTGTTTTTAGTAGAGATGGGGTCTTGCTTTTGCTTAGGCTGGTCTCAAACTCAGGAGCTCAAGCAATCCACCCACCTTGGCCTCCCAGAGTGCTAGGATTATAGGTTGTGAGCCACCACGCCTGGCCCAGGCAAAGCATTTCAACAAGAAGCCTTGGTGTTGCTGAGGGCTCTCAGAGTGGGTGCTAAGTCTGTGGGGTGGTGGTGGTGGCCATGATGGCTTTGATCTGGCATCTGCAAGAGCATGCATCTGCAGGCATCTAAGCCACCAGCTGGACCCAAGGGCAGTCACAGCTGAGTGAGGAGGGAGCCTGTGCAGCCATCCTTGTGCCAGAAGGGGCTACAGGGCACTCTAAGAACCTGAAGCAGTGGAGATCACAGACCTGCAGTCTGAAGTCTCCTCTGAACTGAAGTGCAGTTTGCAGTCACCCAGGACGAAGATGGGGAGGGTGCAGCTGCCAGGTGTGCTGGAGGGGAGAAAGACGGACATGGGTGAAGGCCCTACCAGTTGAGTGGTCGTGATCCAGTCACACCCCCACAGGCCTGGGAGCTGGGTGGGCCAACTCACATCTCCTGAGAGAGCTTCAAACTCTGGATGCCTCTAGCCTAGGGTGGTTTACAAGCAGGTGCCACTGTGCTGCTCTCAGCCCCACCCGCTGCTGCTTCTAATCTGACACAGAGACACTGGATCAGGCTTTGAGGCCAGTTTCCTCTCTGGCTGCAGCCAGACATGGGTGTCCATAGCCTGTGTGACCTGGAGCAGGAGCTGACACGGAATCAGTCTCCTGTGTGAGTAGGGTGTGCCCCTGGAACGAACATATGTGCCTGGCTCAAATACTCCCAGACCCTCCCCTGCTGTGGTCACCCAAATCACTTGGCAAGGTGTCCTCACCGCATAGTGGCAGCTGTGAGCATCCTGTCCTGAGGGTATGGCCAGGTTAGGGGTGAGTAAATGAGACAGAAAGGAAACGGGCTTGATATTATTTTAAGCTTGGGTGGCTCCAGAGAAAGACACCACCTGAGCTGTGTCCCTTAAGTGTCTTCAGGCCTGTCCAGGTGTTGAGATCTCAAAATAGTTTATTCATCTCAAACAAATGCACATTTTATTTTTTCTCTGTGTCTGTAAATTTAAAGTGTTGCACACAAAAACAATACTCTCTCTGTTGGACACACCAGATCAGTTTCCACAAAAGTGACCTTTGGTCCTTTTAAAAAGCCCCAGCTTTTAGGGCTTGGAAAACAAGGCCCCCTGGTGCACATGGCCTCGGGGCTCAGTTTGAGTTTTACCTCATCACCAACTTCAGGAGCACCCAGAGCTGTGAGAAGCTGGGGCAGAATTGTGGAAAATGCTGTCATGGTTTTTGTGTCTGTTTTAGTTTGTTTTGTCAAAAAAGCATGAAGTTCTGAAAAATGAGCTGTCATAGTTAGAAAAGAAGAAAGAGTAGCCAAAGTTGGTAGCATTTCCAGGAGCCTGGCAGACCCAGAATAGACCTTTTAGAGAAACCTGCCTCTAAGTCAGGCCTCAGAGATAAAACATCCCAAGAAGTGTACTTCATTGTGAAGTTACTGTCATCGTCATCTAATCCCCCACCCCCAGAAAACAACAAGCTCTGTTGTTCGTGTAGGAGGTAGTCAAGTGCAGCCATGAGAGGACATGCAGGATGGCTGAGGTCCTGGACAAGGCTTGCTACGCAGCCCCGGGGGGAGTGCCAGCTCTGGCAGGAACCAGGGAAAGGTTAAGCAGATAAGGTGAACCAGATAAGCACCATTGGCCACCCAGTTTAGGGAGGTGGTCCCTGGTTGCCTGGCACCTGGCCCTGGATGGAAGGCAGAGGAATGATCCTTTTGGGGTGTTTGGGCCAGATAAAGGAAGGGACTCTGGATAGTGTGAGTAGTGTGCACAGCAAAGGCACCATCTGGGCCTTTCTTATCTCTAAGTACTGGCTAAATCTAGAAAGAGCAGTCTCTCCCCTAGCCAGAAGGTTTTAAATGATATAGGAGAAAAAAGACACACAAAATACAATACCAAGAGCAAAGGCCAGCAGAAAAACAGGCTGTAGAACCAAATCCATGGATTTTCATATGTTGGAGTAAACAGACACATAGTATGAGATAAGTATGCTAAATATATTTAAAGAAATAGAGTAAGGAATTGAAATATGAGAAAGAAGAGGCTATAAAATGATCAAGCAGGTTTGAAAGGAGTTCTAGAAATAAAAATAGGATATTCCAAAGGGTAATCCAGGCGTGTATTTTCTGCCAACTTGGGGAGCTGTTTGGTTGAAGAAGTGCTTCTAGAATGCAGCCCAGAAAGACAAAGAGCTGGAAAATATGAAACAGGTGAGGAGACAAGGAGAAGAGAGAGAGAGTTTAAGATAATATTTATTTGGTGATTTAAGAGTAATATGAGGTAGAGGCAGTCTCCAAAGAAATATAGGCTGAGAACTTTCCAGAACTGATGGAAATCCCCAGTTCTTAGATTTAGGAAGCCAGTAGATTGCAAGTAATAAAAATAAAAAGCTCCAGCTAAACTTGGTGAAAGTGCAGAACCCCATAACAAAGAGAGGATCTTAAAAGTAGACAGGACAGAGTATCTTTAAAAAAGAAAGTATGTGGTTTATCAAAAGCCACAGTGAAGGCCAGAAAAAAAGTAAATAATACCTTCAAAGTACTGAGAGAAAAATAATTTCTGGCCTAGAATTGTATACCCAGAATATCTGTCATTCAAGAAAGAGGGCTAAATAAAGGCATTTTCAGACCACAAGCCTCCCCACAAAATTTGCCACCACCAGCACTCACTTGAAAATATTCTAAGGAATGACTGGGCAGAAGGGATCTTCTAGGGGAAGTTGGAAATGTGAGGAGGAATGAATAGGATAAAAGGTAAATATATAGATATATCTAAAACACTGAATCTAAAGGTTCCTGTTTACAATGCTTAATTTTGAAGTTTATAAAGCAGATGTCATACATGAGCTGGGGGGAGAGGTGCCTAAACTTTCGGTGTTCCAGAGTCCTGCTGGTTGGAAGGAGGGCACAGCTTTAAACCATGCCTCTGCTATGGAGGTTTATCAGAACTTTTGGATAACCTTTGAAAGAATAGAGATAAAATATAACTCTCAAACCATAGAGGAAGTAACATGGAATTTTAAGAAAAACTAGCCAGTCATGGTGGCTCATGCCTATAATCCCAGCACTTTGGGAGGCCAAGGCAGGAGGATCACTTGAAACCAGTCTGAGTGACATAGCAAGACCCCCTCTCTACAAAAATAAGAAAAATTAGCCAGCTGTGCTAGTGCACACCTGTAGTCCCAGCTACTTGGGAGGCTGAGGTGGGAGGATTGCTTGAGACTAGGAATTGGAGGCTGCCATGAGCTGTGATCACACCACTGCACTGTAGCCAGGGTGACAGAGCCAGGACCTTGCCTCT